CTAATGGGAAAAATGTTGCAAGTCAGGACACTGGAAACAATGGCACATCGTAAATTCACAGCAACTGGGACAGTCAGGTGTGCTGGTTATGAGGTTTTTGTCTCAGCTCTAAAACCTTGTGCTTCCTGATGCTGGTGCTGAGATGCTGGAAACCACATGCTCCTCTGCCTGCTGGCTCCTTGTTTGGTTCTGCCAGTAGGAGGCACGATGAGCCTTGTTCTAGGAGGGGGCAGAAACTGCAGCCAGTTGCCACTGCCAGGGTGAAGAACCACAGGCAAGGTGACACAAACAGGGACAAGAAACAAACAGGAAGTGAGACTGCCTCTTTTTCCCCCAGCCTTCCAGGTTCGCTTTAGAGGGTCCTTCCTCCCAGCTCTGGAGGTCCTGGCACCAGCTGGGCAGCGCTCCTTCTTGAGGTCTGAGTCCCAGCTCCTTGAGGCCTCTGTCTCCTTCAAGCCTCTAGCTTCTAAAATCCTGACCCCTTCCCTCTCTAGTGCCGGGTGTGGGAGCTGCTTCTTGCGGTTACTACCTCTCTGTTCTGCAGGGTTCCCTTTGTTGTGCCTCTTCAGTCCTCTAATACTGTGGTCCCCAATCTCTGGGCCGTGGACCAGTACCAGTCCGTGGCCCATTAGGAACCACAGCAGGAGGTGAGCAGCAGGGGAGTGAGCGAAGCTTCGTCTGTATTTACAGCCGCTCCCCATCGCTTGCATCACTGCCTGAGCTCCGCCTCCTGTCAGATCAGCAGCAGTGGTGTTAGATTCTGCATTGCTGTATAATTATTTCATTATATATTACAATGAAATAATAATAGAAATAAAGTGCACAATGAGTGTGATGCACTTGCATCCTCTCAAAACCATCCCCCTACTCCCAGTCTGCGGAAAAATTGTCTTCAATGAAACCAGTCCCTCGTGCCCAAAAGGTCAGGGACAGCAGCACTAATACCACTGGGACCAATTACTCCCTATATTAAATTCTCCAAGTTAAAATAACTGTTTCAGTTTCCACTTTTCTGATTGGACCATGATTGATACAGGTGGATTGAATAGTATTTTTCTATCTAGTGTATTAGTATTGATTTCCTGTATATCCGTAAAGGGTTGCCCTACTTTAACCACCAGAAATCTTGGAAATTGGGTTTCTTATGAGCTATTATAGGGTGGGAACTTTGCCTAATTTGTTTACCATTATGTTCACATTACTTGAAATAGTACCTGGCACACAGTAGTGCCTCAAAAAGTACTTGACAAGTTAATGAGCCAATTTAACAAGTAGACACTCTAGCTGGCGCTGTGCCAGATCTCTGTCTTTTTCGCGCTTACAGTGAGAGTGTGGACATAAGCAAGTGTACAGACTTAACACACTGCCTTTTTGCAAGAAGATTTCTTCTACCCAACATCTTCTCTTTGCACTGTTTTTTAAGGCTGCACATTTTAGTCACAGAGAGAGGACCAGATTTGAAGTCAAAGACCTGGTCTCAAATCCTGTCTTCACCACCACTAGCTGTACCTCTGATAAATGCCCTAACCTCCCTGTGCCTTGATTTTCTCATCTGTACTGTGGGGATAATACTGGTTCTGCCTAGTCAGGCTTTACATTTATTGTAAACATGAAGGACACTGAGATTGTCTTTCTCCCACACTGTGTCAGACTCTAGATTTTTTGGGAAATTCTCTCCTGGCCAATATGCTCTTGCAAGGGGATAGTTGAGAAATTTGATCTTTGCTTCCTGTCTAACTCTAAAGACCCAGAAAGCATGGATCCATTACAGACAGTTAACTAAACATTGTGTTCCAGTCTTCCCGGATACCGACTGAAGAAAATTCACAGGAAGACAAGGCCACCTCTCTTACATCCTACTCATAATTTCTAGTACATAATTGCCTGAGAAACTTAATCGTCAGTCCTGGTAGCAGATATCTTCCCCTCCACCTGGGAAGCTGCTGGAATAGGACAGAGAGAATAGTGTCCAACAGAAGGAGGAGGGTAGGTTTCTCTAAAGCAAGGCCCAGGGTAAGGACATTATTGCCTAGACAGAAAGAAATGATTGAAAGTTTCTGAAAACTGAGATTTCTTCATATCCAATGACCTTATTAGCCTGAAATAAAATAAAAAATCTCTTCCTCACATAATGGTAATGGTGGAAAGCAAAATGAACCCGTGCATGGGGGTATTCAGGTGGGAAAGCT